TGAAAAACCTGAGATTGTAAAAATGATTTAAAAAGAAGCACTTCAAAATGGTCATGGATAACATTCTAACTCCAACAATATGTATTTGTAAAACTGACTTCACTTTACCAAATTCAAATATTTGCCATAAACATTTTATTTATGCAACGTCTTTTATGCAAACACACATACTAGGATGCATATGCATGGCCTTGATGTTTACATCCAGGAAAATCTTCCAACAGCAAGCGAATTGTCTCTCAAGTCTCCAGAGAATTCTTTCAACTTTTGTTATTGCATTGTTTGCTATCACTTTTTCCTTTATTGCTCCCTTTCTTCTCAGAACTGTAACATATTAGACAAAATATCTTACAGTATAGAATTGGCTCTGCATTCATCTGTAAACATTTTTTGTATTTGGCGATTTTAATGCTCATCGTGTCAAGTGGCTTAATCATTCTGTTACTGATGTTGCCAGTATTCAGACTTTCAATTTTTCCATTGCTCAATCTCTCAATCAAATGGTAAATTTCCCTAATAATTCTGATCAACATATTCTTTACCTGCCCTCCTCATTATCAAGCATTGAAATTCTATCCTCTTGTCAATTCAGATCACACTGTGGTATCTGAGTGATCATTAGATATGAACCTCCTATTGCTCAAGATTAATAATATTGGGATTCATTTTCTTCACAGTACCTCTTGGAATGAAATTTTTAACCTTCCTATTGAGAATTGTGTGACCAAGGTTTCTTTTTGGGTAAAAGCTGGTATCAATGCTTTTGTGCCTTCACAGAAATACCAGATGAAACCACAAACTTCTTGGTTCACACCTGCCTATTCATCTGCTATAAACCATAGAAATCCCACCTTTCTTCAATTTGAGGTATTATCATCTGCTGATAAAGCAGAACGTTTTGTTCATAAATTCTATTCCAATCCTACTCTTGACATAGCTAGAGTATTTTTGCTTGACTTTCCACTTTCTTCTTTGTAATATGCATATAACTCCATTCATAATTCCTGCTATCATCATTAAACTGGATCCCCACAAAGCATGCAAACTCAAGGGCTATTGCAGGGATACCATCAAGAAACGTGCTCCTTAACTCTACAATAAATGCCTCGCTACTTGTTGAAAACCTATCAGGCTATTATTAGCCTCCTAAGTGGAGATCAGGCTGTTTGATCAATAAAGATGTTATAATCACACACACACATGTACATGTTATCTTATATATGAAATCAGATGTTCTGAAAACAAACAAATTTATGAACATTTTCTATTAACAAATCCAATATTAACTACAAACATTATTTTTCATTTTTTAACTTACACTTATTGAATATTAATCCTACTCTTCAGAAATTTTTCTTAAAGCAGTTGTTAAGATTCTTACAAAATTTGGTATATTTAATTAGTCACCTATGTATTAATCAGGTTCATTGATATTTATCTTTTGAAATTCAGTATAAGTGCAATGATCTAAAATTGAATTCTGAAAACAAAATTCTAACATTCAGAATCAAAATAATAGTACAAATTATTAATTTGATATTGTTCTTATAACTTCATTTAAAAATTCTAAGGTTCTATATTAAGTCTCAGGTTATTTTTAATTGACAAAAAAAATCTAAGGGAAAGTGATTCTAAAATAAATAAAAGTTTAATAAAATAACATAGAAAGCCAAATTCCAAAAAAAAAAAAAAAAAAAAAAAAACTCAACTTAGTAGCTTGCAAAACTAACACATTAATTCTTACTGTAAACAACCTGGTAAAGGGAAAGGTTTTTATATATTTCCAGACAAATTTTTGAACTGATTCAGTCTTTCTTATCAAATCATGAAATGAATTGTCTTGAATGGCTACTCTTCTAGTTCTAGATCTTTTTGTATCAATGCATGCCCCCACTCCCAACTATTCTTGGACCTACTTTATTCTTAATTTTCATCAATAACCTTCCTGATGACACAGCCATTTACTCTTGTCGCAATAGTAAGTCTGATCAGTTCCATAAGGTCAAATTGGCAGCCTATTGAAAACAAGATATTCTTGGTCCTGATCTGTCATATCGATTTCAGTTACTTTCCCAGTCATAACGTGGCTTCCTGCACTTTTTTTTTTTTTTAAAAATAAATATTTTCATGATAATTGCTATGGTACCTAGACCTCATGAATTGGCAGTAAGGTCTCATCAATGGCTAGATGTAACCCTAAGTTCTATGCTAAGTTTCTTTTCTTGCTTGTGGAACCCTTCCAATATTTGAATGCAATGTCAATTGTTAGCTAGGTCTTGATTAATCTCTGATTTTTCTTGTTCCTTAATATTTCTTTCACTCAGTGTCTTTACTGCCTTGCATGGGATGATTATATATACATATATATGATAGATATTTTACACAAACACTTTCTTTGTAAGATGGCACTTAAATGTTAATTTTAATATATAACAAAAAAAACAAAAAAAAAACACTGTTCTATTTTCAGTGCCAACAAAATATTTACATGACTTCTTTAAATGGACACTGTCTGTGCAATGTAAATGTTAAGTCATCTTGGCTCCGGTAGTAAAATTGCTGACGTTCATCTTAGATACTTAGGGTAATTCTTTGTTGATCGAGACACTAAGAGTAAAGTAAAATCCATGTTTTCTCAAACTGCCATTTATCAGAGTTGAAATTTTATTAGTTTGTTGCAGGATACAAAGCAATACTATCAAGTGCTAATCAAAGATTTGACTATAAAAAGAAAGAAAAAAAATTACTTACCTTAACACTTAGTTTCTATTTCCTTGAGAAAAAAAATTATATATATATATATATTATATATATATATATATATATATATATATATTCAAGTAAGTATCAGGCTTTAGAATAGTACCCCATATCCCAATGACATTTTTGTGAAGGGGAGGAGGTGGATAGAGACCATATCTCAAATGCAAACATTTTGCTTGTCTCACATTTTTTCTATTCTAAATGCATTCTTGAAAAATTTACACATTTCAAGTTTTTTCTGGGCTATGTCAGTTTTTTTTCTCTAAACATTCAAAATAGAGCTGCCATTTTTCAAAATATTGACCAATACATCTTTTACACAATCTATATTAAGATACGAGTCTAAATTTAGATTATTAACTGGTAATTTTGGGATAATCTACCATAACTGATAGATTTGAGCTTTAATGTTTGAAAAAAATGTTTTTTGAAGAGGATGAAGAATCTTTGCAGGACAGGATTCTAAGCAAATCTGCATTTGGTTTAAAGTCCTTGAATGTTTTTTTCAGTATTTCTTCACTCGGCATTAAATTTGGTTCTCATTTCATAGAAATGGCATTACTTCGGTGGGGGGGGGGGACTTATACCTCTCCTAAGATAATCTACAGAAAACAAAAGAATCAGTTTTAACAGAATCATCTTTCAAGTGCTAACATCTGAACTTTACAAAAATATTCTGATTCAAAACAGATACTAAGGGTAAATATAATTTTTTCAAACTGCAGAAATTGGTGTTCCCAAGGTTCACTTGAAAATATTAGTATCATAAAAGCTATTAAAAAAAATAAAAATTTTAGAAATGGTGAGCATAAATGAATTATAAATAATAACCTAGAATTACCATTTTTTTTTTTTTTTTTTCTACCAATACTGGATTTTACCATAGATGTATGTAGGTAGAGTATCAAGTTGTATTTTGTTCTATTTAACAACTCATTTGATTTACTGAAATATGCCATTTAAAATTATAATGCCATCACTTATGAGTAACATGATTATAGTATTTTAAGTTCAATTTCTACCAACTACCTAATAGATTCTTCAGTATGAAATAAATTCCTGTTAAGTTGAACATCTGATTAAAATAGGGAGGGAAATTAAGTATAGTATTTTTAGGGAAATAGAAGAAAAGATTTTTCCAACAAACAGTAAACTGTCTTTTCTATAATTTATATTAACAAGTCAATTAAGTACTTTAAATACAACTTTGTACTAATTAATAAAGCTTTTTAATGCTCTAAAAGATAAATGTTTTCATAAAAATAGTATCTTTATTAGCAGTAACTTCATTCATGGAGATTCAATATAAATTCTTGACAATTACAATATTGTAAATTCTATCATTAATTTAGGATAAAAAGCCAGTATAAACACTTAACACCAGTTTGCCAGTTCTTGGAGATGTTTAAATATATCATTGCAGTCCAGTATATTTGTGACTTGGATCATGTTAGTCATCTAAGCCTCCAAAATTTACTAGCAGAAATGTCTTCATATATACATCATGTGGCAGAAATACCTTCCACATAATGCTAAGACAGCTACATGAGACACCATTGCCACTAATGTCTTACCACTATGTAGGAGGTATTTCTACTGCACCCTATATTATTTACAATGATTTATGGACTTGGACTAAATATCAACAATGATTTATTAACTAAGGAAAAAAAAAATTACATTAAGCAAGCAATGCCTCAAACTACTATAATAGAGAAAATAGATAAGATTTCTTGTCTTTTTTTTTTTTTTTTTTTTTTAAATGTTACTTTGATATATTGATGTTTCCAACAAACTATTTATAATTATTTTATTTAATCATTTAGCCATGAAAGAAATAACAAGTTTAGATCTTTTTAACAAGTTGTAAATGAAAAGAGTTACTGACTTTCATTCATGAAAGCCTTTTTCCTTTCCTAATCTTAAAATTTTTAAAAAGTCAATTGTAATATTAAAGACAGTTAATCAAAATCAATGAGGCTAGCTATGAAAAGTTATTTCTTGGATGATGATGATGATGATGATGTGGGGAGAGGAATGCTAAAATCTGCTAAAAGCAACAATAAGGTAATGCTACATGTCAAAGTCCATTACTACTTTGGATTTCTTTCAACATAATAAACAATGAGAAAAAAAAAATTTCAAGAGACTTCGGTTTTCTTTTTATGTTCTTTATTCAGAACAGTACTTCTTGGGTACAATAAAATGAACTTTACAGGAGCTCCATCAACAGGTGATCATCCGCAACATCTATAAAATTATATGAAGAGTGAAAGTGGAATGCAGGAGCAAAGAAAGGTTTGCTGGGTGATCTGTCATTAATAATAGTAATAATAATAATAATAATAATGATGATGACCATAATTATAATATTAGTCATAGAGTGTAGTAAAAAGTATAATATTAAGTGGCAAGGAATCCACACTTTATAGATAGCATCACTTGCAAGCCATACATCATAGCCTGTTTAACTAGCAATTCATCATCATCACATTTAACAATCCTCTCACTAACAGCTCTACCGTCTTCAAAAAAACGGTTACTAAATAACAAGGCATTGCAGGTTTAGATCCCACCCCCCCCAATCAAATTCGAAAAGACTGCAGCAATTAGCAACCACGCCCCTCAAGTAAAGAACAGAACTTGAGAAGGTGAAGACCAAAGGCAAAGAACTGGAGAGAAAGGTAAACAAAATACATTTTTAATTTGTGAAATAAAGATTTTACTTTGGGGGGTGATGAATAAAGGTAACCTAGAATCACTTAACTATTTGCTTAAAATTTCTAAATATTAGAGACACAAACAAAATTAGGAAAAAAAAAAAAAAAATGCATCCCTTAAAAATAAAACTATCCTGGGTGTTGGAGAGAATTGTTGCTTACATGTTTATCAGTGAGCAAGCATACACATATTAAAGTTGCTCTATTTAGGCTTCTGTATGCAACAATTCTGAAACTCAGGAGGAGATTAACTTTCCTAACCTGAAAATTCAAAAGGTATTTCTTCCACATTAAGTACTCAGTAAAGTAAAGTTAATACAAAATGTTGTCAACAGTGGAAATTTAAGTGGAACGTATTTTCAATGCAAGATATTTGCTATAAACCCACTATTAAAAAATAAGCTGAGAATTTACTTTATAAAGCTTTTCTCCAAAAAGCAACTTTGGGAATGAGGTAAGAAATAAGACGATGCTTATGTTTCGGATAAAAAAAAAAAGCCAATAACTGCACCCTATAAACAATCGGTGGGAGAATAAAAAAAGAAAATAAAATAAAAGCAGTGATATGATTATCAAATAACACGGTTATATATATATACATATATATATAATAGAAACCTACTCTCCAGCTATAAAATATATGAAAAAAAATTATTTATATTCCAGTGACAGTATAAACATCACTGGCTACAATACTAAACATAAAATCGAAATGACTGGTATGTAATAATTATAAAGAACTTATATATATATATATATATATATATATATATATATATATATATATATATTTTTTCTGTTAACTATTTGCGTTGTGCTCACTTATTTGTAGCAACACTTGAGGTTGTGAAGTCAAGAGAAAGTGTGAACACAAAAGTAAAAGATGTACACATTCAGAATACATGTGTACAAACATTTGATACATCAGTCTCAATGATCAAAATACTGTTACCACCAGGGTTTTTATGAAAGGGAAGAGAGAGAAAAAAAAAAAAAAATAAGTGGGAAATGGAACAGTTTTAATGGAATAGCCAACTGGTTGCACTGAGAAGTAAATGTTCTGAGAAGTTTGGAGTTTTTCTTTTAAAATAACAAACTGTCTTCATACAAAATTCAAGAAGAAATAAAATGAAAAAAAAAAAAATAAATAAAAAGCAGTTCACAATTTTTGAAGTGACTTGCAAAAACTGTACCAATTCATTTTAAAATGACTGAAAAGCAGGATGAAGGATTTTAACAACTAATAGAACTAAAACAAATTGTTCACTTTAAAACATTTATCTGAGGGATGATGGTCCCTTATAAAATCTTAAAAAATAAATCCAAAAGAAAATAAATGAAATGGGAGAAGAAAAAAAAATTTAATTACATGGTCACACTTTTTTCTCTCTCCAAATAAAATTATCAAGTTAACTTCCAGGACAATGCTTGTTTAATTATGTGAAACCAAATATATACAAACTTGTGTTAAAAATGTTGAAATTAATACAAATGTGATGATGTCTGACTTCTAAATTAAAAGAAAGAAATTTAAAAGAAAAGAAAACAAAAAATAGCTGCATGGATATCATGATATCTTCATTTGCTGTTTTAAAAAAAAAAAAAAAAAAAAAAAAAAAAAAAAAAAAGAAATGGTTGCCAATAAGGTTCAGTTAATGTTTCAGTTTATTTGCCTTTCCAACAGGTTCATCAAAGACCAATATGGTCCTTTTCATCACTTCTACTGGACAAGCAAGAAAATAAGAGCGGTAAAACAGAGTGTCTATTAAAATACATCTAAACTGTGACAAAATTATTGTTATTTGTATCCAACAAAAGTAATACTAAAAGATAAAGAGCAAGATTACAATTGTTTCTCTAATGTGGCAGTCTAGATGCTCAGCTTCCCACCTGGTTTCTAATTGCAGCATTCATCATCATACAGACACGGCTTTAAACACTTCAACTTTTTATTTATATAATCAGAAGAAAGAAAAAATATCAAAGTTGAGAATGTTTTTTTTGTTTAATTTTAAATAGAAAAAAGTGTAAAGCAATGGCAATGAATAGATCTTGATGGAGATTTGAATTAAATTGCCACAAATCCCTCCTCACTGCAAACAGCGGTACGCACAGGTGTGAAAGTATGTAAAAAGAGTTTAAATGCAGAACACAACAAGTGACATATTTTTTATAAAAATTTAATTAACTTTGCACAATAAAGATAGTTCTGAGTAACCTTTCTTTCACCAACAATAGCATTTTCTATCTGCACAAAGACTTCTGGCAAACTAGACTCAATAAGATACGTTAAAAAACCTTCTATTTAATGAAAAAAATATATTAGCAACAAGATTGCTTATCTCAGCAGATGAAATGCTCAACTATTCAGGTCTAAAAGATTTTACTTACAGCAAATATTACAAATGAAATATACCAAAAAGCAAACTAAAGATGCTGAGATGTTAGTTTTCAGATGGTAACAATGTATTATTAAAGCAGAAACCAATAAAACATTTGTGTTTTGCATCTAAAATCTTAAATCCCTACAGCAGCGGCTGCATTGTTTAAACCCGGTAGGGAAATTGAAACATCTCAAGTGGAAATTATTTGCTCTTGTCCATTTATTATTTTTCTTAAATACCTTCTACATTTAACAAGTATATTCCACATTCTACTTGCTCTTTCTAGGTTACTCATATACTGAAACCTAATAATAGTTATAAAATAAAAATAATAATAAAAAAAAAACAAAGTGGGGGGATGCAATGTGATTGAAATTTTCTTCAAAACACTTGTCAGAAAAGTAAATATTCTTGATCCTGACTCATTCACACAGCCTTCATTTTCACACAGCCATACCCATATCTGTTCTTTCTCACATCAAACACCTTTTCATTATAGTGTGTTTGTAACTTATCCAGTAAAAAACAATGGGATACTTAAATGATTTCCAAATTGCTAGAGTTTTTTCTCTCTCTCTTACAAGGTGTTTTAATATTTTTTCATTCCATTTGCTTTTTTTTTTTATTAACATTTTTTCATATCGGGGCGGGAAATTTAGTATACTTATTTAAAGCATACATTGTTTTTTTTTGTTTTTTTGTTTTGTTTTTTTTTTCCTTTTTTAAAAATTATTTTATATTACCTTATTCTTTCAGTTGGTCTTAAAGTTAAGGAGTTTTATTTAGGCTAATCAACAAGTAATTCAAAATGGACAAGTCCTAGTCTTTCAAGCTTATTAACAACAATGTTTCGTGCATAGGCTTTGCACTCAACCATCAACAAGAATCCACGAGTAGGCTTCATGAACTGGACCACTACAATAGGAGCATGGTAGCCTGGTTGGTTCAGAAAAGGGAAGTATTTGATTGGAAAGCCATGTTTCGGGTAGTAGTGAACTGGACCTAAGTTTTCAACATCGGACTCCCTCTGAAAAATAAATATATAAACAATTACTAATTAAGCTAAAGCTTAAATAAAAATTATTTCTAGTTATATCATTTTTTTTCTTTTAATTACAATATTACAAAAATAAATTTTGAGTAATTAGAATATTTTTCAACTTGTATATACAAAAAGTGCAAGGTTAAAAAAAAAAAAAAAATCACTTAATTATGTTTGAGCAAAAGAGAAATTTTATCAGCTTAATAAACTCAGATATTATAGGCTTTACTTTATTTTGTGCAATTACTATTCTGCAATTATATTTTACTTTACACTATTATACAATTTACATTTGTACCAAAGACAAAAATGCAGTTGACTGTTGAAATGTTTCTTACCTCGCCATGGCATTTCACGGTGATGTGACCACCATCCCAATTGTCTCTTGCTTCAGATGGGACAGTTTCATTTGAGAAGGGCTCAGGGATCCAATTATAGATCTGAAAGAGAAACAAAATGATTTAGATCATTACTTTAAAAAGAAGAATGAAGATTATTCTTCTAACCAGTCTTGAAAGATCCAAGTACGGCAACCAAAGTATACATAAATTTGTTATGTAATAAGTAAAAATAAAAAGTAATGTAAAATTCCTAAATAAATGCTTTTAATGTAATAACATTTTCTGTTGTATTTTACATTCTTTTATTCTTTACCTCTTGAAATACCAAAATGTTTACTATGTTAGGTTAATAAATATACACAAGAAAATTTATTAAATTAAATGAATTTTATCTTAGTCTGTCATTCAACCATACAGCATAATGACAAACCAAATGCAAACTTTTTACTGTTCTTTTTACTCATTGAAACACCAAATTGAAATTTGAATCTTAAAATCATAAATTCAAATGATAAAAAACAGGAAAAGCCAAAAAATTCAATATTTTATTCAAAGTACACAGATTAAATATTTCATTAATTTCATAAGGGTTTTCTCTTCAGTAATAGAAAAATCCATTTGTGAAATGATAGGGTTGAATTTTTGAATAACATAATATCTGTAATAAAATAATTTCAAGTGTAAAACGTGCTGTATGAAAACAAAACAATCTAAAAGAATTTAAGTCAATTTATCCCCACTACCAAGAGTTCATATAATACAACCATTTAATTTTCCACTTTTGTAAAATTCACTAAATTTAAGCAGTATAAAGAGGGGGGGGGAACTAATAACCACTATAAATTCATGAATTCAAAATTTCAACCTCCTGTAAACAATAAGTATTTTTAAAATTGTTAATTAAAATGGAACAAACAAGTGAATGGTTAATTAAATCTAGTAAAGGATGAGAGGAAAGTTACCTTGTTTAGTTTCAGGATGACACATGGTGTACCATTTTTATATCCATAGTCAGGTTCATTGAGACAAGGAGCATTAAGAGCTAAGGGGTCAAACAAACAAGGCTTATGCTTGTTGGTCTCACGTTCACCGCTGATAGACTCGCAGTTCTCATAACGACTATCATATTTAGTAGTGTTATACTCTGAAAGGAAACAAAACAAAAAACTTTGAATATCACAATTTGCTGATAAGTATTTGATCAGGTAATTGAGAAAGTTTTTGAAGGTTTAAAATAAACAAAATGAATAATACATTTTCCTGTTACCTTATTGGTTCTAATTATTGAACACCCCGCCCCACATACACAACTAAGGAATTGATAAAAAAAAAAGAAAAAGAAAAGAAAAAGAAAAAGTATGCAGATATGAGCCAATGCCAATATTTAAATGTAGAAAGAAAAATAACTAAGAAAGAATGCCTAATTATTAAAGTAAATGAAATATGTTAATTCTTTTATTATATTGGATGCAATTTTATGCAAACATTTAAGATGTTATTATACAGGCATATGCCAATAAGATCATTTACAAAAGGCATATAAACTTTTATTTATAGTCAGAAAGTAATCTTAACCAAACATTACAAAATTACACAGTACAATTCTGACAAGCAATTTGCAAATAGTAATAATCTCAATATTCAAGTCAAGCTTCACTTAGACAACAGGTTTCTTAAAAGTTTGTAATATAAAGATGTATTTCTTTAATAAATTTTTACATTTTTATTTTTGATATAGTTGAACAAAAGAGCAACTTTTGCACAAGTTATTTTAATTTGAGCTTATTTCATTTTTAACTCTAGTTAGAATTCAAAATGGAAAAAAATGTTCAGTATTTATTTTTATTTAGCACAACCCTCAATTTTAGTTCAAGTATGTTCAGATGTAATAAAAAGATGAAATCAAGAAAATTACACCAACTGAACTTTTAAGCTCTAACAAAGCATATCTCACATCAGCATACTTTTTTTTTTATTCAATTGAAAATTTGAATGGTTTAAATTACACACAGTAATTAACATTAAAAATACAAATTTTAAATTATTTCAAACAGATTATTCTAATTAATTATTCAAAAGAATAGCTTTAAAAATATTTTATAAAGTCATTTTTAATACCATACAAGGAAGCAAATATATACAATTTCTATTTTTTGTAGCAAATTCCAATAATGACAAACAAATACATTATAAAAATATAATTACTTCTATGAGTGGGGTACTGAAAAATCCTCAGCCTAACTAAGAAAGGATTTAAAAAAAAAAAAAAAAAAAAAAAAAAAAAAAAAAGTTTGGTTATTTGGTCATATTTTGGGAAGTGGGATGGGTTGAGAACTTTTCAGCACCCCTCAGATGATGAACACATTTTAAATATCTTAAATACTTTAATTTCAGTATTGACCTCATGCTCAGTTCTTAAAATTGAGACAATGTCAGAAACATTAAGCTTTGTTAAAATAAAATTAAATTAAATTAACATTAACACCCAATAATTGAGATGCTATTAATGTATATTTTACAAAATCAAAATTTATGCATAGCTGGGTTATTTTAGATGCATTTACATGCACAAAAAATAAATAAATAAAATAAACAAAAAGTTAAAGTGTTAATTATATTAAAATATTAAGAAATTTATTAATTTGCGTTAATTTTAATACCAAAAACAGTTGTAAAGAAGTTAATATTCAACTTACATATATAAAACAAGATAAACAAAACCATTCCCAAAAGAAATAATTGTGTTGATGTAATATTTTTAAAAAAATATTAACATTTCTAAACCAAAAGATTTTATTTAACCAAAGAAGAAAATGGTATTTATGCTAAAGATTATGAAATAAAGAAAAAAGTCTAATAACCAATCTAATTTACAAGTTGGCAAAATATTAACAAATGCCTTTCACAATCTTTTCAGAATACCATTTTCTTTACTGGCACTGTTAATACTGAAGAAGAAAAAGAAAAAAAGAAGAAGCAAATTTTCAGAAAATGTTAACTTGAAGTGCCAAATAAAGTGCTAAAATACCAAATCCCTTAAGATAAAAAATTTGAAAAACTCAAGATGGCAGGCACAGACAACAGTCTTTAAGACAATTTTACTTTACAGCAAATACAAACCAAATAGTATTAAATTTATAGGTACAAGAATTACTATAGTTTGGTTTTCAAAATATATTATTTTTCCAAGTTTATCTTAAGATGGGCTACAAATTGATATTTTTAGAATTTTTTTTATTCTTAGAATTGAAAATGATAAAAAATAAAAAAGGCGAAAAGAAAAATAGTTGCCTCGATAACTTAAAAGATTGAGATGCAAAAAGTTGAGTGAAACTGTTAGCTTGGCTTGAGGTTTATCAGGATTGGTGGTTATCCTGAAATGACCTTGTGCATCCCCCAACGCTACATATATTTATGTTAAGAACATGTCTCAGAAATCAAGTGAATGACAGTTTTTTACCCTTATGCTAAACTTAATTCCCCCCCCCCACAACATAAAGTAATAAATAGAGTTCAAGCATTTTTAGATGTTTCCCATTGTTAATTTATGCAATATAAAGAGAATCATTAGTCAACATAGTTAACTCACTTATCCTGATCATGCTTTGAGGAACAAATTTAAAGTTTTAAACTAGAAATTACATGTAGATTTCATTCATTTTTTTTTTTTTTTAAAGAAATTCTTGGTTTTTTAGAAATTAAAAACGGGAAAGTTTAAACATCTTTAAAACTTGTACATAGAAAATGTTTCGTTTTCTCAAAATTTAAAAAAGTTTCTAAAATACATTAATATCATTGTTTTAATCAAAACATACACACACATGCTCAGCCGACAAGTAATGTGCATGGACAATAGATTGAATAAATATTTCAACAGTTTTCAAATGTCTATATGATAATACATGCTGGTATGTGTTCATACAGTTGTAAACAATTTATATTGTCACAGTAGAATTAGTTACTAACTTGACTCACATGTCCATATGGACATGTAGAGCTCTGTAAGTATAGAAAAGGTTATCATAAATGATACATTGGAAAATTTCATGTTTACAAAACATTATTTAAACTACAAAAAACTATTGATGGTTTGAAAAGGTTTTGTAAAGGTGATTTCAGCTTATGAGAGGAGACACAAATAGATTGTCCTGTTGAGTTTAACAGACTCACTTAGCTTGATCTTTATGAAAATAGTTACAGTTGAAAAAAAAGGTTAACAAAAAAAAAAAAAAAAAAAAAAAAAATGAATTCAAGACTGTCATCTGCAACAACTTTAAAAGTTGCCTCTAGTTGGAAAATAGGTTCCCCATAATTTGATATAATCCAATCATAAAGAAAATATGAACATTCATATTTCTATGCACTCATGAACACATCTCACCATTTCAAACAACAAATTGGTAGTGAAAAACTAATGTTTTCCAAGAATATAAAAGTGATTCAAACAATGACGTAGTGGAGGTGAACAGGCTAAAACACAACCCAAGATAGCAAAAGTTTTATTGGACAGATGTCTAAGTGTTTGGTGGAATTGCATTGTGTTATCCATGTTGAGTTGCTACTAGTCATAACATCAACTAGTTGCAACTCAACGTTTTACAGCAGACATGATATATGTTATCAGTAGTTAGAACATTTAAACACTGCGTTGAAAAAAAAAAAAAAAAAAAAAAAAGACGCAGAGTTTGACTGCTTATAAAGGTGTGGTGTTCCATCATGATAATGCATGACTCCATACAGCAAGGATCTGAAAAGATGGAAGACTTCAGCCTAGAATATATTTCAGTCTCCTTGTTCTTAAGATCTTGCTTCATCTAATTACTACCTATTCTAGAGTTTACAGAACCATACGGATGATTGAACAATTAAAATACATGAAGGGGTGAAAACTACCTCTACATTTTTTTCCTCCAAACCAAAGGACTCTTACAAAAACTATGATAAAGCTTGTGAATCATTGAAAGGAGGTGATTGATTACAGAATCCATTATCATTGCTTCTAATTAAATATGATCTTTTTTTTTTTTTTTATATATATATATATATATATATATATATATTCCTGACCCTTAATTGGTATTACTTATGAGATATATGATATTGGCCTAAGGTTTTGAGAAATAGGAGTGCACTATAAAAGCATTAGGAATGCGTTCTAAACAGGAAAAGTAATGAATAACCAAAAATATCTGAATACACAAGAGATCACTGGAATGAAAATGAAACCTACAATGGTCCAAAACTGTACCATTCCCACAACATATTTCTGTTAAAAAAAAAAAAAAAACTAAATGTAAATAAAATTACATATCTAATATGATACCTTTTTCTATAAACAAAAACATTTAAAACCCAGTATTCATCCCAAATTTTGAACCAATCATTTTTTTTTTTTTTTGGTAAACCATAGCATTTTTTTTCAATTGCTTTATTTTATGGCATAGACCATCTTGGAATTTATTTTTTGTAAAGTTTCACACCATAAGACATTTTGGTTCAAAACAGTAGCATGGAACATGTAAAAATTAATATACCAAGGAATAAAAATTAAGAAATATTGCATTTTGTTCATTTTTAGTAAAATACTTGTTTACATATAGTAAAACATAATTCTTTACATGAAGTCAATCTATCCTAATTAGCTTCTGATAATGTTTATAGAAGCAATAATACTGATAAATTCATTTAATATTGAGGACCAATGACAGTTTTATTTCCAGGCTCAATCAGGTGTGCTTCAAAGCATGTTCAATAATAACCAGAAAGACAATTTTAGAAGGCCTTAGGATAAAATGATTCAAGTTATTTGATTCTAGATTCTTAAATTGTAAAAAAAAAAAAAAAAAAAAAATGATTGTATAAATTCTAGGCAAACTAAAATGTTGCTAAATATAATTTCTCTACTTCAAATGAAATTATAGAAGCAAATGAAATGAGAGGGGAAAAAAGAAAAGGAGATTGATGAATGGCTAAGTGATACCAGGAGATAGGAAAGGTCAACTGGTGCATGGCTTGTGTTTCAAGAAAAGGGTCCAGTACAGGAAAGCAAGGCTGGAGATTTTAAGAATATGAAATAGAATTTTCATTTCTTAAATGTAAATAATGGAATTTTTCTTAATTAAATCCCATTTTGCAATCTGTCCAACAATAAAATGCAGGAAACAACTAAAATATTAGCAAACAGAAAAGAAAGGATTAAAGAGCTTTCAAAGAAACTGAAAGCTTTATTGGTAACTAAATCAGATTTATAGAAAAGCAGTTATGTAAAACACATGAAAAATAAAAGTAACAAATAACTTGATAATGCAGAAATCAAGGATTGGGTTCAATGATTACAATACCATATTAGTATTATGTTAAATATGGCCAAAAATCATCTTGAAAATTAACATTGTTCTTCAGCAGGGAGAAGCAGGTCAAGGTTGGAAGCACTTTTTTTCTTTCACTGGTCTTCAGTGTATAATCTTTCATATTTATCAATCTATAATTAATAAAAAGTATATAATTCATATGAACAAAATAACAATTGAATATGAGAAAGTTTTACTAGATTATTTTAGTTTTAAATTTCCACCTCCCTAGTTCTGAACATTGTGTATGTAGCCACTGGGGGGAGGATGAAATCTAAAAGTGGCAAGCATCATGCAGATATCAACTGTTGGTCTGAGTGTCAAGCACATTTAAATAACCATGCAGATGGATTGGTGGACACAACACTGGATTCTGCAAGGATGGAACAAAACAGGAGGGGAAAATTTTGTTTGTTTAAAATCATTTCATAAAAAAATTTAAAGCTTATATTAATTAATATTTTGAAGCTAAGAAATTGACAGTGAAGAGAAAGATTGTGCATCATTTATTTTTGCCCATTTTCCATTAGTCAGTAAATAGCAAATGCTTTAGAGACAAAAGAAAAAAAAGAAAAAAAGAGATTGAATGGTAGGGAGAGGTTTAGCAGGCTAAAGGCAAGAGCATGCACACTAAAAGTAATAATAGTAATTGTAGTAAGAGTTATTATAGCTGTTGTTGTTGAAGTAATAGTAATAGCACACCAAACTAAAAAGTGGCCAACAAGAAGAATGGGGAGACGGGATATAGATATAAACATACGCACTGTAGCCTAACAACAAAAATAGAAAAAAAAAAAGTGTGATTATTAATTCGCATGAATGTAACTATAAGAAACAAGGAACAAATTAGTTATTCATAATCAAAGAGATTTTCCTCTCAATATGCTGCAATCCATATGGTCAAAAATCAAACGAAATGATCCGGGATACACTCCATTCATTAATGACTGTGAAATAAAAAAATAAATATAAAAAACACACACACACACACAAAATTTCAGTTCGTCAGGGAAGATAGATGAAAATAATGTGATTAATTTTTATTCATTCCAAGTAAAACCACCACTTTTAGTTGCTACTGGAAAAATCTGTTGACAATGGATAGAAAATCACTTCTTCAATTAGTTAAGATATAAACCACTTTCTTCTAATATAGTGAAATAATTTATAATCTATTTACTGACAAGCTCAAATAACTTGGGTGTAATAATTAACTAAAGTTAATTGAAATAATCTTGTATAACATAACCTGAATATAGTTATAAATACAAATACACATTTCTTACTATAAAAAAGCAACAAAAATGTGTTGAGAGCAGCCAACATTGTTAAAGCAATGTAAGAACATCATGTACATTTAGAGTAAATTTATTTTATTTCTTTCACTTTCATTAAATCAGATCATAATTCATTTAAAAGAATATTTCTTTTATTTTTTTAACATGAAATTAAAGCTTCAGAAAAAGGATATTTTAAAAATAAAGTATTTAAAAATAAAGTATTTAAAAATAATTACTGTACGATTTAATTATTTTACATATTGGAAAAAAAACATTTAGGAATACAATGATTAACAATCTTTTATAGAATTTATGATGTTAAATAACTCCGAGGGTAGAAAGTACATTTATGATGCCCTGTCATAAGTAAAGATGTTACAGTAAGAATTGATCCTTTTGATCCTCATTTCAATGTGCTTTGAGATAAATCAAAACTTTGTATTGCGATTTCATATTGTATTTGGGGGAAAAAAGAAAACTTGAACAACAGATTCTATCCAGAAGAGCAAGCATATATATTTTTTTACAATAAAACAAAATAACAAGATTTTTCTAGAAAAAAAAATAAAAAAATGTTAAATTAAAAAATTCAACAAAAACAAATTCATGCATTAAATTATACAATATCCTAAAATATAATGGAAAAGAAAACAGTTAAATGACTGTTACTTATAAGCAATGTTTAGCTAAAAAAAATGCATCAGCAAACCAACAATTCACAGATCATCATTCAAATTCTAGTCAGAGATAATATAACATGCACAGAACATACAGCCTTTCCAATTATGACAAATTCATCAATTTCAGTTCTTGTTTGAAGAAACAATTTTCAGAAAAATCCAATTATCAATTTAAAACTTATTCTTTTGTGAATAGTGTTAATCAATATGACTATTTTAAAAGTTCAGTGACATTTATCTGGCTTTATCTTTCTGTTACAGATTTAACTAAATAGAAATTAATTTTAAAATGTAAATTAGTAAATTTAAATTTTTAAAACTCAAGTTAACTATATAGACAATAAAATAATTTAGTACATGAGAGTTGACAGAGTTTGAACATTTATTTTATGCTACATTAAGAACAGATTAAATAATCAGTTCAGAATAATTTTCTCTCAATATCCAAACCCAGATTTTAGAATTAATACACTTTATAGAAACTATATAATTTTTACTATTATTGTTATTATTATTATTATAGATGCGCATACTAGTCATTAAAAGTTTATAAAAACATTCTTTAAATAAGTCAAACTTACTAATACATTCAGAAACTTTCTTAAACAGTTAACATTGAATTTAGAGTTCTATTTCAACTAACCATTTAAAAATAATGAAATAAAACATTAATAGCACAAGTAGAAGGTCTCTAAATATGTATATGGACCATTACTATAATACTTGTTAAATTATATTTATTCTGTACTTAAATAGAACACAGCAAAAATAGAACACTAATTACTATTTACAGTAAAAGATACCGAAAACAAATTTTGATAAAATTCAATTAGTTTCATAAGATAAATATCTAGATGTAATAAAATTTAGGAAAGTTTATTTTTTCATTGTACACTTTAAAATATTATCCCGTTTTTTTTTTTTGTTTTATTCAAGCGAAAAAGCTAAAAAAATTAAATTTTAAAGCATTTTCAAGTCAAATACTGATCTATCTAAAGTTAAAAATACTAATGATTTTGTTACAATATTAAAATGCTAAAAATGGTGAAGTTGACACTGACTTTAGAAAACTGAAATGTAACAAGTGATGGAATGTTGACTTTTAAGACTGAAAACAATTGTTCAAAACTTAGATATAGTTTTACTAAATGAGTAATAGTAGTAATAGCACACATTCATAACTCAAATTTAAAAAAAATTTTTATTACAGTTCACATTTTGATGTAATTTTTTATTTTCTAGAAGGCAACAAACACAAACTAAAGTTTGAAGAAATGTAATCCTAAGTTTAATATCTTTTTTAAAATGAGGAAAAAAACTTGCAACCTGCATTACTATTCAGATTAAACTCACAAAAAGTCACTATATGCAAGTTTTTAATCTAACTTCTATTGGACGAAAAATGACAGTATTTAAAGTTATATTTCAACAAAGAAATTTTTTTTAAGTGCACACAACTAATAGCAAAAATAGGAAAAGAAAGTATGTATTATTGAAAGCATTAAAATGAGTGCACAATATGAAAAAATTTTCAACATCTAACATGGTATTATAATAATATGGTATCACTAGTAAATATTAAAAGCTAATTAAGACAATTTTGAATTTTAAGAATCTTTCTATTCATGAACAATGATAGATTTATAATATTTTCAGTTCCTACAGCTCGTCTCATTCTATATGCAGCATCTGTTTTCTCAATGTTAAAAACCAGAAAGATCATTAAGAACATATGCATGGTCAGAAATTTGTGACAAAATTAAAAATAATAGTTTGCATAAATGAACAAACAATTAAAACTAAAAGGCAAATTTTTCATTACCGAAACACTTTGCTGTATTTTTAATGTTAAAATTGGCTACTTTTAACAGTGTTTTAGAGTGATCCGAAAAATTTATTTTTAGCTACAAGATTAGAATAAATTACTAATTTTTATTCATTTTCTTATTTCAGTTTTTTTAAAAGTTATGTTAGTAAAAAAATCTGTAAACATGCAAATACAAAGACATTTTTCTATTCTAATTTTCAGGTTTTCACTCACTTAACAAATCAGCCATAAAGATTGAACTTACGTGCAAGGAAACTTTTGATGTTGTTAACATATGGTTTCATGCTAGTGTCTCCCTTGTTAAAGCGAATAAGAGTAGATTCATAATTTGGTCTTGGCCGATAGCCCAAACCTAAAATAATTAAAATAGATACAGAACATCCAATACAATGACAACAGAATATACATTCAAATATAGAAATTAGAAATAAGAGACTAAAAAAATTATTTTCCTTTTCTAGCAAATGTTTAATTGGAATTAAGACAATTAGTTAATGATCATTTTCACCCATGAATTTTAAATTTAAAATTCACAGGATTCTTCAAACTGTCGATGGTGGTAAATTACTGAAATAGAAATTTTTTTCTATTTCAGTAATCTACTACCATTGACAGTTTGAAGAATCCTGTAAATTTTAAACTTAAAATTCATGGGTAAAAATGATCATTACTTAATGGTGTCTTAATTCCAAATGTATGAAATATTTTGTTCTGTCTAGAAAATAAACATTGAGTGCTTTTTGGCGAGTCAGTTTTAACATTTAATATTTAAAATTTCATATTGTGTTAATAGGATTCACTTGAATTATACTAACGTATATATATATATATATATATATATAACTTTGCCAGCTTCTTGCTAGAAAGGGAAAGTTTTTTAGAATCTTATTTTCATTTAATTTTAAACAAAACACACACAAAGGTTCCAGAACAATTTTAATTTAAAAATTTTATTTATAGTTGTTTTTTTTCTCTCCTTACAATTTAAAAGTTTAAATTTAAACTAAAATAATGAAATCTAAAACCAAATATATTTTTAATAGTACTCACTAGTTTTCATCTATTTTTTTTTTTTTTTCAAAAGGAAAAGTGAATTACCTAGTATTCAATCCACGTCCTATATGATACCAGAGTTAAAAGTTTACTTACCAGGAGAACCTTTCAAAAGACTACTGGTTCCTTGAAGTTTAGGATAATTTCCATCTATAGTTGTATAAAAAATTGCAATAGTTGCTGTAAAGAATCCTGCTAAACATCCGTAGAAGATGATGTAGAAAATGGTAATCAATGCTGAAAAGAAAAAGATTTATATATTATTTTGACAATGTGCTTAATGAGTTTACAAAACAAAATGCTGCAAGTTTAAAAAATAAAATATACTGCATATATATTTTAGCCAAGTTTTGTTTAAAATATTATCTTTTAGTACTTAGACTCGTCAGAATGAAGCCAATAATTAATTATACTGTTCTGTAATGCATTTGATTGCAAGAAACCATGTAGAATAGAATATTGTCAATCCCTCCCAAATTCAGACAAAAAGAAATTATCTCTACTGTTCTCATTTTTATATGATATTCAACATCAAAATAAAGCAGGAAAAGGAAAAATACCGAACAGGACTAAAAGGTAACAAATTTTTATGTTGGAGAAAAGTTCAACAACTCATTTTTAAATAAGCCCCTCAAACTATTTTCTATTAAAATCTGTCTTTCAAAATTGAATCAATAAAAACAAGAATTCAAACAGTTCACTTTGCAAATAAAGCTAAAGGTTTTTGGGTGCTTTTCACATATACCCATTTGAAATGACTACCAACCTTTAATTTTTCAGATTGTTTAAACTTGAAAATATTGAAATTCAAAGTTATATATATGATTGATTTTGGTCTATTGCAAAATACTCAACCCAGTCAATAATATTAAATTCATGAGATAGATACTAATAATAGATTCTATGTTTGAGCATAGAAATAGTCAAAAAAAAAAAAAAAAAAAAAAAAAAAATATGGATGAATAAATTTTTTAAAAGCTTAAAAACCTAACAAAATAATGATATACAATCAAGATTATAATCTAGTGGTTCATTAGATTAATGCATTGGATTCAATAAAAAAAAATTATAATTATTTAAAAAAATGTATCAAAATAAATGAGCCAAAAATGGGTATAAAAACTATCTGCATTTTAGTCATCCTAGTTAAAAATGAAACTTGAAGTTTGAAGAGTTTACTGTTTAACTGACATACTATTATTTTTTAAACCCAAGATTAAACCAATCACTACTGAAAAAAAAAACTGCTCTAACAATATGCAAGCAAGATATATTAAAAAAAAACAATATGCATTGCTAAAAATATTGTTCCAAGAATTTTATATATGCTTAAACAAATTAAAAATATCAAGAACCCTTGTTTAATCTTACTGCAATATGTGTGTGCGTGTGTGCGTAAATAAATAATCTCCGTGAATATTAAAGAAATACAAAATATAAATAATCCTTTTCATAAATAATGTAAAAATAACTGGGCAAGAGTTGCTTCCCATTAACAATGAAGTAAAAATATGATTACGTAAACCAAACAACGCAGCATTGAACATAAAATAAATTAATATCGTTCAACAAGTGATAATTAAAAAGTAAGGAAGCGTTATCCACTCGTAATAATTTGCAAATTCAATAAACCAACATAAATGAATTACAACTGACAGATTTAATAAATTCGCGGTTATTTTCCAAACTTTATCAGAAGGAAGGAATCTTATTCTTTGACAGTTTTTACAACAAATTGTAATTTAACAATGAAAATATACGCTAATAGTCCTATCAAATTTTATTTAATGCCTTCTTAATATTTATTAATTGTAAAATGCGTATAGGTCATGTATTTAAATATTAATTGCATCTTCCCCTATATAAAAAGAGTAACACAATCCAAACGCACATTCAAACAAGAAAAGCAGAGATTTTACAAAAAATAAAATAAAATAAAATAATAAAATAAATAAAAACATAAAAGTGAAAACTCCCAAGAATTACCTATTGCCTAGGTTAAAAAATAAAATAAAATAAAATACTACACCAGTCACGATTCACTCAGGTAACAAGGTCACCAGTAGTTTAAAATGTGCAAATAAATTAACGGTGAACTTCAAAGAATTGTATTGTAGTCAGTAGTGTATGTGTATTACAAAGAAAGTTCATTTGTATATACCGGACCCCAATGCAGCAAATTTTCTATTGATCGTGCATACAAAAAGTGTGTGCATGGAAGATGGGTAGGGTCAATATTCAACAGATGTAGTAAAGCACGTTTCGTTAAAAAAATAATAAAGGCTAAAACCAGACTGCAATTGAGAAATAGAAATTTTTTATAATTATAATTAGATTTTTCTTGGAGGCCACTCATTTTAAAATAAATAAAACTGCTAAAAAGTAACTGGCTGAATTTTTCCTAGTTAATCGATACTGTATGCCATCAAATTAGTTATTGACTCAGAACTAAAAAATATTTCCTATGTTCGTTTCAGAAAGGTTGAGCTATTCGTTACATAGGTTGATTTTGATTCTGTCATGAAAAGTTAGTATCTTTGTTGAGCATCATCATTTGTTGGTATCAGATCTGCGCTGAACTATATTCATACAATTCAAATCGTGAGATTTTTATTGTCAATGTGTGGAAAATCCTGTTCTCTACAGATATTGTTGTCAATTTACAGTTTTTTTACAACTCAAGTTTTTAATTGTTTGCCTTTAAGTTTGAGATATTTGAAATTAGCTTCCAAGTCGACAATAAAGTAACTGAAAATATTTAAAAAAAATAAAATAAAATCAAGAAGTAAATCTGACTTGAGAATGTTGTAAAAAAATTGTTTTCTCTCTTCGCCGAAATAATGATTAATCATCTCAGTTAATAATGGAAATATTGCTTAGCTTACTACATTGAGGAAAGGAGGAGGATATGAAAACTCACTGATTTTTCAAGACTTAAAAAAAATATTAATCTGCTTTATTTTCAAGTGTTAAAAAAATGTATATATATTCCAGTAGGTCATTTTTTTCTTAGAAAACGTTACGAAAACAACTGAAAATAGAGTAATTCAGACATGAGATAGTTATGGGCGCTATTTTTGCACACCTGAACACTAGTGCAGCCACAAATCGTGTGTAAGCTATATGTGACAAAAAAAAAAAAAAAAACAAACAAACAAACAAAACAAAATCAACGCTATGCATGGACCAAGAAATCGTAACAATGATTTACTTTACATAATTTTTATATGGAATCAAAGATTTAGAAACACGAAATATTCTCATTCTTGACATCAAATCGCCACGGATTTTAACCATGTTATTTGTTTGTCTTTGAATTTGTATTAAATTGAAAACACCTTTTCTTTTAGTGATATTACTTTTATTGATTGAAAAGTAAAATAATAGTTTACACTACAGAGTTCAATAATATAATTATTAATAAATGTCCTGATGCAAATTTTAATGTACGAGAAATAAATATTTTTTGTTTGATTTAAGTAGCACCCTTGTTATGTTGGTTGACAATTCCATGTTTAGGAAATGAATAAATAAAAACCTAAGTAGAATATTTTCAACTGGTAGATATTTTTACGAAATTTCAAGGTGTCAATACGTGACTTACATTTAATTTTAAAGTCCTGGTTTTCTTGTTTAATATGGAAAAATCCCAGAAAGCCACGAATCAATTTTAAATTCTTTAGGTCAAATATTCATACCAAACAAATGGATGAACTTGTAAAAAGACGTATATACAAGTTACATTTTTTTTTTTTTACAATGATGCAAGAGTCCAGATTAAGCCCAAAATGAGATAGTCACAAGAGATAAAAAAAAAACATGAACTTACTTAACATGGAGAGGGAAATAAATACAAAACTGAAAATGGCATTTCTTTAAGAGATTGCTCTATTTTTAATTTTCTGAAGTTTAAAAATGCAAAAAAGGTTTGTTTTTTAACGAAACTTATTCAAATTTGTAAAAGTTTGTAATTGTAAATGTTATGACATGAGAAATGTCATTGTGTTCGTGTATCTGTCATTTCGATCAGTAGTAAACCATTGTGCAACATTATTTGCTTCAGAATCTCAAACAGCTGATTTATAGCTTCTAAATTGCTATCAAGTCATTTTTAGCACAAGGTATGAACGATTCTAACGATTATTTAATTTTAATATAGTTTCTATACTAAATACTTTATAACACTAGCAAATCACAGGAAACTTGTAGAAAAGTAGCAGTTCATCAAGCTCAATGGAAAATATGATGACATAATGGAAAAATACTTAAAATCTCATGAGGAAATTATGCATTTTTTTTTAAATCTTTAAACCAAGGTCATTCCTAAAATATAATTTTAAAAACGAAACCGGATTAAAAAAAAAAAAAATTAAATATATATATTTAAAAAATACCAGTTACAACACGCAGAAGAGATGGAATTTCAATCTCATTAAAAAAATAACTTTACAATACATTCTTTTTCGCAAAAAATTACAGAAATATCTTCTTTCTTGTGGCCTTCATTCTAAATCTTTTACCATTATAAATTTCAACAAATCATCAAAAAGCTCTTCAACATCTAAAAAAAAAAAAAAAAAAAAAAAAAAATTAAAAACTCATTATTTAAATTTTTATAATATTTCAAAAAGAAATTTCATGGAAGTGTTTTTAATTCCAAGATAGGAGTTAAAAATATTTAGGAGGAGGAGGAGACGGAAGGATAAGAGAGAGAAAGAAGGGGAAATCAATTTACGAGTTAGCTGTTACCAAAGATAAAATAAAAACGTGGTTACAATTTTTTTTAAATTACCGAAGAAATTTAACGAAAAAAAAAAAAAAAATAAAAAAAAAAAAAATAAATAAAAAATAAAATGAATCCACTATGGCTGAGCTAAGTTTCGAGTAGGGGAAAAACAGGTTTCATGCATGAAATGCCCTTCAAGTGTCAATAGTGTCATGTGTTTTTTTGTTTTTTTTGTCTAGTTCTCAACGCTTGCTATGGGTAAGAAGAAGAATGACATAAGACAATTAATAATATTAATGTCTTTAGTTTAAAGACATAGCTATTTTCTATAATTTGGTAACCAATACTTCAATGATCATAAAGAAAGGAAAACTGATAGAATTTCCAATCGCCGGCCCAAGGACAATTTTTATTGATTGAGCCTGCTGCTACTACTCACCACTCAAACTAGAGACCCTCGCCAGATCAATGCTTAATTAAAAAAAATAGATAGGCATAATAATAAATATAGAAATTAGTTCTACTAGTTCTATCTATAGATTTGATTTATTCAACTAGAGAGAGAGAGAGAGAGAGAGAGAGAGAGAGAGAGAGAGAGATTTTACCTAAACTAAAAGTTAATAATTAACTACCCTGAATCTACAACTATTTAAGAAGCATTCGACCTATGATGATGTCAATTTCACTGTTTCGGCCAGCGCCATAAAAATAACCAAAGAAAGAGTTTTCTTGATTCACAATAGGCAAATGCTATTCGCATCCTTTCACGGCAAAAAAGAAAACGAAATTAAAATAGAAATTGTATTGAGAGCTAAAAAAATATTCCTACCAAATTTTTTTCGCTGTCTGAATTCTAAAAGGAAAGTCTTAATAAATTTTATTAAGCAAGTTTGACTTTATTCTTGTCTCTACCTTACCTTAAAAATATAATGAATTATGTATTGTAACTGAACTGCGCTTTTCATAGCTTCATGTTAGATGCCGTTACTTGTGTGACACTGTAGTGTTTTTAATAACCATCTAAAAAAAAAAAAAAAGGGTTTGCATTTTGAGTTAATTGCACTTTGTTATTTATTTTTTAACATAACGCTGCACGGACTGCAGTATGAAACTATGAAGGTCACTTTCATAATTAATGTACATACAAGTGGTTGGTTTTTGGTACTGAAAAAAAAAAATGTATGCGAAAAAGCGTGAAAATATATTTTTTTAAATTTCGAAGGTAAATAAGCTGAATGCAACAACTCAGGTGCAGTGATTGAGAGAAAGCGATGAATAGATAGTAAATATTAAATTATTTTTTTTATACGATTATTATAATGGTGGTTTTTAAATATGAAAAAAAAAAAGTTAAAAGCCTATATTGGAAGAGTATTTAAAAATGTGTAGTATCATGTCTATCGGTTATGTAAGAATGACCTTTCTTGCGAGGACATGATAGTAAACCAGTATCAAATCAAACTGGGTCAGTAATAATTAAAAAGAAAGAAAGAATAAAGGTATCATTACAGAAAATATCTATACTATGCTCTAGTTTACATGCTTATTTAACAAAACAAATGTGAGATTTTATTTTACAAGCCTTAAAAAGTGAGGGAAAGTAATTTGCAAAACCAAGAAATGATATCAGTAGGCCGCTTTAAGTTATGGCATGTCAGTATTTAATAAGATTTAGGCACATTTAACAAAATAGTCGGTACACAACCGAGAAGGGTCATCACATCCAAACACGTGAAAAAATATCAAGAAAAACTAAACCGTACTAATAAAAGCAAACAAAAAAGAACAATGTGTTACTGTCCTCCTTTTTTAGCTTTTTTAATTTTATCACAATTTACAAATTTTACAACTATTGTGCTGAATTTCATGTTAAAAAAACTTAGACCAATTAAATTTTAAGACTCATAAATTTCTAAGGTTGGAAATTTCTTTAAAACAAACAGAAAATAATCCACTAATCATGATGAATAAATTATTTTAGTGTTTCTTATCACACTGAAAATTTGACCTCTGACAAGTGACAAGACACTTGTTCTGTACTTCGAGTAAAAAGCCGGATTTTTTCTTAAATTTTTTTTTAATATTCAAACCTCGCGACATAAAATATATTGCATCCAAGTATTCTATGATAAAAAGGTTGGTATTTAACTTAAGATGAAAAAGCATGCACATCGCAGTTTAGTTTACTTTAGCAAGGTCAATATCATGAAAAAACGAAGTCTTCTCCGGTTAAAAAAATGAATTTTTTTAAATAGAAATTATGAGAAAATATTGTCCTGGGTAAGAGTAATTTAAATCCAAAATATAGCAACAATATCTGGAAATGTCAAGTGACGATCTCTACTGGATGAAAGAATTTAAAAGAAAAAAAAAAACAGAATATCTTCTGAGCTTCTCCATTATTATCCAGTAATAATAATGACCCAAAGAGAGAAGTAGAAATTTTGTATAGACCTGTTACATATTTGTCACCAGTAATAAATTAATGCAAGAATAATTACATTGTTTATTTTCACTTATTAAAATAAAAGAAAACCATTTTTATACCTTACTTAATGAATAAATCAAAATTTAAAGAAGGAAGACACATTGTCAAATGTCAACAGCAACACTATGCCTAATAAAGGTTGTTTGTGTGGTACAGTTTAAGATTCCATAGAGAGAGAGCAACTATTATATACAAACGACATTATACTGAGCTGATCATATCAAAAATCGACATGAAAAGGAACACAGCTTTTAAAATTAACGAACCAACATTGTAGTAGTAGTAATAATTTCACCAGTCTTTTTTGTGATGGTAATGCTGTTGGTATTGGGACAATATAACACAATTGCTAGCAAATGAATGCATACAAAAGTGAAATATTTCAACATTAACTATTTATTAGGTAATGAAAATGAATGTTCCAAGATTTTGGCTGTGTTAAGTTGGTCGGTTGGGATTTCACCTTCAGCTGGTTGCCACCTTCAAGGTTACCAAGTAGTAGTAGTAGTAGTATCAAAACGTACACTGCACCAAACCTTTTACTACTTTGATTGCAAATCAAATAAAAATAATGACTGTCACCAATAACATAAATGTTGATCAATAATCGACATTGTAAAATAAAGCAAAAATCCCAAAATATCCCAAGTTTACTTTTGCTTTCACACACTCTCCTTTCTTACTGTTTCTACGAGGACTTATTTGCAAAGCTTATCAAACACAGGCTACGACAATAGCACATTTAATCTATCAAATGAGTGGAGACGGATTAAGCAACCAACAACGGATTATCGCGAAATAAATCAATTTTTAATTCTGTTCTCTGTCCTAAATGGTAGAGATTATCTGACAATAACTATAGTTCACACACACAAAATAGAGCAAAATGAGGTAGATGTAGGTAATCTTTTCTCTTTAAGAAAGAAAAGCAGGCTTTTCCATACAACAAAGTAAGAATCCAAATTAAAGTTTATCGGAGGATTTCGATCCGATTATTTGATAAGTTGTTGAATTTTTAGTTTTTAAATCCCGATCAGCATCGCAAACTTAACATGTTAGACTAGAGACAATTAGGTAATTTTTCGATTAGGTTAGAAAAGTGGGAAGGACCAGTCGGATTTCTTACTAGTAGTTCTAAATCTAGCTAGCGAGTTTAGCTGCTTAGTGTTGAAGACTACTTGCTTTTATTCTATTTTGGTCCTGGCTGATAAAAAAAAATAAAAAAAATATGAAGCAACAAGAGTACAAGATGGAGAGAACAGACGATTATAATTATACATAATCGACCGATGAAATTAACAAGAATCGAGAAAAACTAAAGATTATTAGCCTTGAGGTGTACTGTACAAGATAGAAAGCAAATAATTGTCCAATGACAGTAGCAGAAGACGGATGAAGGGAGACTTACCCCAGCTTTTTCCAGTTCGGCCGCAAACCTCACCAGTTTCACCATTGTAAATAAATGTACAGAAATCGTCTACAGCTTGTCGATAGCCACTCTTACTGGGACCCGAAGCTGGATCTACATCAGAACTCGCCATTTTTCACCTGCCAGTTGTAGTATGGGTAGTAAGATTAGAGTGATCGTTTTCTCACAGCTGCCTCTAACTACTCACTTCTCTTAGCGACTGGAGCAAACAGCACTGACTGGCTAAGTTCCCGGATGTACATCCGATCAAATACGTCACTGCGCCGAATATGCTTTTCGACACTTTCCGGAAATAACCGACCGATATACTAGCGTCGTACGGAAATAGACGAATACCACCGAACTTTATTTACTCATTTACCCACCCCACTCCTAATACACACTTTTTTTGGAGTGATATCCTCGTTAAGAAGTTTCTCCTTAGATACATTTATTAGAAAAAAAGAAGCCACCCTGATGACTGTTTGCCAGCGTAAAATTCTTGTATTTTTCAATAGCATTGACTAAAAAAATCATAGGGCTCAAAACCTTGATTGATTTTTTTTTCCAATCATTCACAAGAAAGTTTCTCTTCCAAGAATAAGATGCAATCTTCAAATAAATAATTTGGCAAAACAAAAATAATAAATAATCAAGTTAACCAGAAAGTTAAGTAATTTTTAAATTGAATTTTTTGCTTTTATTCTCTCTGCTATCCTTTAAAGTTTAATCTAAACATGGAGACATCCTAAGTGGCTATCTTAAATTTTAGAATTAAATGCAGGCAACTAAATTTATTTATATTTCAATGTGTTCAAGAGAAATAAAATTATTTAGCATCCATTCTTGTATAGTCTAATTTCGTGAATTTTATATCTAATATATGATCAGTGATATTAAATATATACCACACTTAAAATTATCTCCTCCTATTTTTGTATGATATTACTGAAAAGTTCCTGGCTCAACCAAGAGACTAAAAAAATTCTGATGTTTGGTCATTTGGTGAAATCTTGAGAATTGAGTTGTGCTGAGAACTTTTCAGCACTCTCTCATTTGCATCTGTGTAATAACAATATAGTGTTCAGAATTGAATAAACAGACACCTATTCCATTACATATTACCAGATAATATTAGGCAAGTCAATCTTTTCATAACAATGCCCCTTTAGTTTTCCTACTGAAAATTGTACCTCTGAAGTTTCTTCTTGGGTAAAAGCTGATATCAAGTTTTGTACTTTCTTGTAGAGATTTACTTGACCCCTTCCCCTTCCACTGAGTCAGGTTGTGACACAAGGTCGTTTTTTAACGTGAGGACCAGAGAGTCTTCACTTGGGCCACTGGTCAAAGCTGGTTATAGCTGTGATACTACTAGTGCAAGGATGGATCCCTGTGACAGATAAGTATCAGAATGTGTATACCACTCAAGAGAGCGGTTTGTGCACTGATTATTTTCTAAGCATAGCTCAGATGTGGCACAAGGACGAAAGTATGGGGCATCTAGTGATGATCAAACTCACTTTTCAGTCATAAATGATCTAGTGAGACAAGCTTGCTAGCCATTACACCATGCCAAAGTGCCCTCAAAGTTTTGTACTTTCTTGTAAATACTGCATATCTAACACTTTCGAAAAGTCAGAGGGAAGCCACATCATGTCAGTGAGATAATGACTGAAGTCAAGACGCCAGGTCAGGATCAATTACATTACAGACCCTTCTTTGAATTTTCTCAAAAATCACAAGAGATATAGTAGGAGCAGCAAGCCAGATATGGCAGCATTATTCAATGCAAGGACAAATGGTAGATTTATAAATGTGCAAGAGAGATTCTGATGAGAAAAATTGTCTGGCACAATGCAGTGAACCAACTTGCCTAGCAGTAGACCTAGCAATTAATTCAATATAATTACTCCATGTTTGTGAAAAACATGAGCCCAAAAAGGTGCAAAGAGTTGCTCTCCTGGAAGTTAGCATCAGCCATGTTGATGGCAGACAGAAAACGTTCTCTATGGGGATTAAATGAAAGCAGTTTTGTTTTGGAGGCATTAAAACATTTCTTGCTCCAGTTAATCATTGATTGGAGGTCCTTTTTGAGAGTTGTTGCTAGTCTTACTTTGATACTAAGACAGAAGTAAATAGTTGTGTCATCTTCAACAATATTAAACTACTAGTTTGCAATGCCATACTAGGTCCTGATGTCTTCAACTAGTACTCCAGTGTTAAACTTGCTTTTGGGAACCTCAACCTGATGTTAGATACCTGCATCTTAACCACTATAAACATACAATACTCCTCCCTCTTCAATAATTTAACTACAGATTGTAAACTAATAGCCAGTGAATCTAGGAGATATTCTTTTGAAGTCAAGAGATTTATTCAATTGATAATTTCTAGAATGCTAAGAGAAGGAATAATCGTAGAAAATAAATCCCTGTGAAGAGCACAAGTCTTGATATCATCCTTTGAAAATAATAATAAACAGTGAATGGTTATAGACTACTCGCAAACTATAAACCAATTTACACAGTTGAATGCCTATCCACTATCCCACATTGATGAGATGATTGGTGAGATTTCCAAATACAAAAAATACACCTGTTAACACAAATTACCGGTTTCCCTCTAACTCTTGTAGATTAAGGGTGATGCATCTGAAAGAGATATCACCAATAGAGCAGGTCAGTTTTGGAATTGTGGTATTGCACTCAATTTGAAAGTTAGTGCCTGACATAATAAATAACGACACAAAATAATTTTTTTCAAAATTGCTACTGTTTTTTGAGGAAATGAGTTCACAGATTAAGTTTAGGTTAAAAATTGGAGTGTTGGAATTTCATTCCAGTGAGCAGTAAAAGATTTAATGCTGTCAAAAACTTTTGTATCCTTATGGAAAACAAATGTGTAAATCACATTTAATAAAATGTTTTCCAATTGTAATATTTAATCATTCTCAATAAATCAAAGAAAAAGAAATCAGAATTATGAATAATATAAAAATATTCACTTTATAAAGACAAAATGGAGATTAAATACAATATATATTTAGGTTGTGGCCAGTGATGAAAATTGTTTCTTTTTTTTTTTTCCCTCATATAGAATTTCGGTTTTGTTATTTTTCAGTGCAAAAAATTAAATTCTAATTCTAAAAAAAAAAAAAAAAAAAACAACAGTAGTAAAATAAATACATTTTGTTTATGAATCTTGTACCAGTATTTTCTTTCAATGGGTATTATCTAAGTTCTCACCATTTTGTTTGTCACTGTAAAGTTAATTAGTTCTTTAGTATTTGTATAGAACAGACTTAACTATTTAAAAAAAAAAAAAAAAAAAAAAGTAAATATTTTGCTTAATTTACATCATTTTGTATTTTCAAAGTGACTGGCATTTATTTAAAAAGTTGTTTATTTCCATGCAAGAAATTAATCTCCATTTAGGTAAGTTTCATTCTATTTTTCTTATTTCAAATTTACCTTTGAAATTTTATTAAAATAAGGTTATGTTTGCACTTATTCTCCTCACAAGAAGTTAATATTAATTCTATGGTTGTTTTACTTTTTCTTTGTTTAATTTGAACTAGTTTATGTCCCAATTTTCAAAATTTAAATTAATTGAAAAATATAAATTTGCTTCTGATCATCTTCCATTTTCTGGTAAATAATATTGTCATATTTTCCTTCATATTTATCATGTATGATAGTTTTTAAATTTATACAGATTTTGAGATTTCAGGTTTCTATAGAAGAAAGAGAATATTTACAAGCCCAAAGAGAAAACAGAACCAAAAGACAGTTTCCAACAAAGACAAAGATGCTGCCAAAAAAATCAAAGACCTGCAACTGAAACAGAGATTAGACAGACAGATTGAAATTTAGCAACAGGATTCTACACATGTTGCCTCTACATCAGATATTTTTCCATCAATGTCTTCCAGTGAAGAAACATCTAATGACAGTTTTGAGCCAGGAAGACAGTCTAAGAGAAATGACAGTCTCCAGATATGCCATGGAACATATTAAGGATGATGTATCTTCTAGGGAGATAATTAGCTAAAGCTTTTTTATTAGACCTACAATATATAGACTTTCTTCATCCAAACCTTAACTTAAAGGACATTATCATTAAAATAGACAGGGAAAGGGCTAGAGTAAAAGTAACCACCCATCAGAAGCATGTTCAGTACCATGAAAATATCATCAGCACTGGTATTAATTGCAGAGTTGCAATACAAAGAGATTACAAAGGAAAACAACAAAAAAAAAAAAAATCAGAAAAACTAAAGGACCAGAGTGCCACTTGACTTTCAACAAAGATGGACATGGGAAGTAGATATCCCACCGATAGAGTTATCACTAACATTAGTGCAACTGGTGTTGTTCTAGCAGAGGGTGTTGCTGCTGTTTTAGAAGAATTCAACATTCTATTAAGGCAGTTCTTATGGACAAGAGCAGTACAAACACTGGTTGTGAGGCAGGGCTTGTTATACCTCTGGAGAAAAAAAACTTAAAAGAAAGTTACACACCATTGGCTGTTCATGTCATCAAAATGAACTGTCGTTTCAAGCCATTTTTAAGTATACTGATGGAACTACAAGAAGCCCTACTACTTTTACTGGTTCTCTAGGGAAACTTTGCAGAAATGATTACCAAGATTTGCCCCAGGTAGAATTTAACACTATCAATAGCCCTCTAGATAACTTTTATCTTACTACAGGGGCAATGAAAGATTTAAGTGGCAACTAAAGACTACTCTTAGAATACGCAGCAGGAATTTCTCAAGGAAAAGTGAACCCTATATTTGCTACCTGGAAAATTTGGTTTGTAGTTCAAGTAAGATGGCTAACTTTAGCCATCAGGCTAATGTGCTTATGAACCAGAGGAGCCTATTGACTAGAACTCTATGATAAATTGTACAGCCTTATAAAATTTATAATTAAAATATATGCAATTAGTTGTTTTGAAATTAAAAGGAATAATAAATTGCATAACCAGCAACTCTATATCTTCAACATGATTCAGAACTGAAATACAGAATAGTGCATAAAAAAATTTACCGCACAAAAATATTTTTTTGTTTCAGGAGTAGAAAGCCACCAGAAAAGCGATTAAAATAATTACATTCAAATCTGAAGTGACA